CGGGCAGCGAGAGCATGCTCCTCAAACAGTGGTTGATGCATGGAGGTTAATAAGTGTTCTTTATATTTATTTCTCAGCTGCTCATTAAGCACATGCTTCGCTATAAACCCGAATTAGCCTACAAAACGGACCGGTGGGAAAGCCCAGCCTCCATTCGCTATTAGAGTGCATACAGATGTCATGTAATTTTTTCCCCTGCCCATTTGATAATGGGCCATTCTAAATCTAAACAAATTGTACATATTCGGAAAGACAAGATTCAATTGAGAATAGTATGAGAACAGCCGTGCAGCCTGAGGGCAAGGAACAGAGCGCAAGCTTATTTTGCTACTTTCTCAAATCATCAATAGCCTATAGTCGCACCATGCAGCCCATATGTTTTGATTTCTAAGACCCAGGTCTGTATCATTCACAGCTAAAGTTGCCAAATAACTACATCTAGCATATAGGACCGGGTTATTATTATTTTTTTTTTATGTTCACTTTTACGCTCAAAATAGCCACTTCATATGCGCACTCGCTCAGTAGGTCTAATGGGAAGAATATCCTTTATTTTATTCAAGCTGACAAGTTCAATTCTATTCTTCTTACTATAAAATAAAATAAAATGTCACGGGACTTTATAAGCATATCTTGTCAGCTAAATTAACAAGCCAATGGCCTGGAGCATAACGTAGTCCCATGTAGCTCAGTTGGTAGAGCATGGCGCTTGCAACGCCAGGGTTGTGGGTTCATTTCCCACGTGGGGCCAGTATGAAAATGTATGCACTCACTAACTGTAAGTCGCTCTGGATAAGAGCGTCTGCTAAATGACTAAAATATAGGCCTACAGTAGGCCAGCTCCTGTTCTGTTCTTCTGAAATAAATGTTCTTAATATCATGTTTCTTTAGACATGACTAAAATAAATAATGGATTTATTGTGATGGTGTATATTAAATTGATTTTATTCAAGTTTTTTTTTAAATGCAGATGTTCCGAAGGCACGCATCAGAGGCTTGTATGTGTGGAGGCCTGAAGATGCTAAACGTGTTTGTTAATTAATGTTCAATTACAGTGAGACCAGCAGGCTTTTGCATGACAAAAACCAGCTGACAAATTTCATGACCCCCACAGCTTTATATCTGGCCTTTCTTTAGATGAAGGTGCAGCCATTGGGGACCTCAAATGGACTGGGCATAAATTAATGATGTTTTCTGTCCTTCAAGAAGGTTTGATGGGAGTTTTAAGTTACTCCCACAATTGCATGAGGTTGCATTATTCATTAGACTTGTCATAGTCTTTCTTTGAATATCCTTGTGCGTTTTCCACCCGAGCTCATTCAAATGTCATCTTAAGTGACTTTTATGGTATCACCTACCCAACGTTCTTTGATGCTCCCCATCAGCATCTTACTCTTGCAACAACAGCCACTTGTGATCACTTAATTTAGCTGATTCAATGATTTCCCATCCCATTCTATATCACTACTCGTGTCCTCTGTTACTCCCTCTCTCCATTTCCCTGTGGTTTTCTCCCTATTCTCTCGTTCTTTCCTCCCCTTCCCTGTGTTTTGTTGATCGGCGCTCCCCCGGCCCCCCAGAGAGAGGCTCTTGTTTTTCATTAAAACACTGTGCCCTTTGTGTGTTTGGTCCACATCAATCACGAGCCACTGCTCCTCTAATCACCACTCTCCCAGGAACAGGGTCACTCCAAGTGGGGCCTCACCCATAGGGCCATGAGGACCCAGAGGACCCAGCCCAAATGAACCAACTCAAGGCGGTCCCAGCAGTGGGTTAGACAGAAAGAGGAGTGTGGCGCTCGCCTCATTTGCAAATGTGCAGCATAGAGCTCACACACCGACGAGAGACAAACAATGTACTTATATGGCATCGCTGAGGCATGCTTCTACATCTAGGTGGCCTGTCTTGAAACTTTCTAATGAACCCTCATGGTTGCACATCGACAAAGTACAAACACGGCAATCGATGTATTCACTATGGACCTGGCTCAGCACTTAAGTCAGGAAGTGTTGTGGCAGTGCCGCTACACCAGAAGATGGAAGTCTTAACTGACCTATTTCTGTTCTCCTGTACTCTCCACCTGTACCTGTAGTTAAACTTTAGTGTCTGCAGAAGAGGAGTAAGAAACTGACTCACAGAGCATTCAGGCTAGTTTATAACCCATGGGGTCCAGTGGGGTATTTTTTGCCATGGAAAGGAGGCCAGTCAGCCAAGAAGGTTCAGGTTCAGCACCATAGAGAATGCTCTGAGACAGTTTCTCATTATAGGAAAGACTAATTGGGTTTCACAACGTTTGGTGCCAGTCTATCTGGTGACGGTAGCTGTGAATAGATGCCTCTGTGTCGTTTGGAGTTTACCTAGGTTTGTTAGACAGTGACCAAGGCCTGGAAAGTATGAAAGTGAAGCGTGTGTTCTTGCGTCAATTATGTTGGGATAGCTGCCGGTCTAGTGCCTCAGCTAATTTGTCTAGATCATTCCTGAAGCCAAATACTCAACTTCATGCAAAGTCACACATCCTGTTGCATTAAGTGGATTTGCACAACATTTGTTTTGGGTTTCACCCCCCACAAGTTTTTTGTGAATGACATCCACACACCATTTCCATTTAATCCTTACTTGAAATATATTTCTATTCTCTTCTCAGGGAACTGGTGTTAATTGCAGATTACTGACAAACTGTCTCAATGACTTCTGTGTTTTAATGTAATGAAGAGGGTGGTTGTGTAATTTGTTACTTCTTGTAGGCCTACAGTATGTAAGATCGTGTTGGGTTCTGCAGTCGTAATTGTTTTGCATTGAAGAGGGTGCAGTAGTGTTTTCCTCCGGATTCGGCCTCCTGTTCCAAATCTCGTTCTGCTCTAATTGTTTTTTAACCTCCCATTCCCCAAGGAGACTGATGCTCTAATCACAGTACTTACAGGAATATGGGATTGCCCACTGTTTATGAGCGCATGAGGATCAAAGCCCCAGTGATTGTGGGGATATAGGATCGAAACGATCATGGAAGGCCATGGTGTGTGTGACAACCCATGCAGGGATTATGAGCCCAGGCGCTTTCTCCATAATTGATATGCGCTTATGTTAGGGCTTCTACACTGCTCAAAAAAATAAAGGGAACACTTAAACAACACATCCTAGATCTGAATGAATGAAATCTTATTAAATACACATAGTTGAATGTGCTGACAACAAAATCACACAAAAATGATCAATAGAAATCAAATTTATCAACCCATGGAGGTCTGGATTTGGAATCACCCTCAAAATTAAAGTGGAAAACCACACTACAGGCTGATCCAACTTTGATGTAATGTCCTTAAAACAAGTCAAAATGAGGCTCAGTAGTGTGTGGCCTCCACGTGCCTGTATTACTTACTTTTTGTCATTTAGCAGACGCTCTTATCCAGAGCGACTTACAGTTAGTGAGTCATTCTTATTATTATTATTCTTATTCTTATTATTTTTTTTTAAATACTGGCCCCCCGTGGGAATTGGACCCACAACCTTGGCGTTGCAAACGCCATGCTCAACCAACTGAGCTACAGTTGCCGGCCATTCCCTCCCCTATCCTGGACGACGCTGGGCCAATTGTGCACCGCCACATGGGTCTCCCGGTCACGGCCGGCTACGACAGAGATCTGTATGACCTCCCTACAACACCTGGGCATGCTCCTGATGAGGTGGCGGATGGTCTCCTGAGGGATCTCCTCCCAGACCTGGACTAAAGCGAGACATGATGTCCCAGATGTGCTCAATTGGATTCAGGTCTGGGGAACGGGCGGGCCAGTCCATAGCATCAATGCCTTCCTCTTGCAGGAACTGCTGACACACTCCAGCCACATGAGGTCTAGCATTGTCTTGCATTAGGAGGAACCCAGGGCCAACCGCACCAGCACATGGTCTCACAAGGGGTCTGAGGATCTCATCTCGGTACCTAATGGCAGTCAGGCTACCTCTGGCGAGCACATGGAGGGCTGTGCAGCCCCCCCAAAGAAATGCCACCCCACACCATGACTGACCCACCACCAAACCGGTCATGCTGGAGGATGTTGCAGGCAGCAGAACGTTCTCCACGGCGTCTCCAGACTCTGTCACGTCTGTCACATGTGCTCAGTATGAACCTGCTTTCATCTGTGAAGAGCACAGGGCGCCAGTGGCGAATTTGCCAATCTTGGTGTTCTCTGGCAAATGCCAAACGTCCTGCACGGTGTTGGGATGTAAGCACAACCCCCACCTGTGGACGTCGGGCCCTCATACCACCCTCATGGAGTCTGTTTCTGACCGTTTGAGCAGACACATGCACATTTGTGGCCTGCTGGAGGTCATTTTGCAGGGCTCTGGCAGTGCTCCTCCTGCTCCTCCTTGCACAAAGGTGGAGGTAGCGGTCCTGCTGCTGGGTTGTTGACCTCCTACGGCCTCCTCCACATCTCCTGATGTACTGGCCTGTCTCCTGGTAGCGCCTCCATGCTCTGGACACTACGCTGACAGACACAGCAAACCTTCTTGCCACAGCTCGCATTGATGTGCCATCCTGGATGAGCTGCACTACCTGAGCCACTTGTGTGGGTTGTAGACTCCGTCTCATGCTACCACTAGAGTGAAAGCACCGCCAGCATTCAAAAGTGACCAAAACATCAGCCAGGAAGCATAGGAACCACTCCTTTATTGGGGGTGTCTTGCTAATTGCCTATAATTTCCACCTGTTGTCTATTCCATTTGCACAACAGCATGTGAAATTTATTGTCAATCAGTGTTACTTCCTAAGTGGACAGTTTGATTTCACAGAAGTGTGATTGACTTGACTTGGAGTTACATTGTGTTGTTTGAGTGTTCCCTTTATTTTTTTGAGCAGTGTATTTCTTGATATACTTTGTGGTTTTATGTATTCTACGAACAGCTGTCCAGTGGATTTACTCTCTTTACTCAACTCGGTCTTCATCGTCCAACAACGGTGAATTGTGAGTCTTGACTTAATTATTTTCATTCTGTTCCATTTTCAGGATGACACTGGTGCATATCTCATAGACCGAGACCCCACATACTTTGGGCCGGTGCTGAACTACCTGAGGCATGGCAAGCTGGTGCTCAACAGGGACCTGGCTGAGGAAGGTAAGACTGGGCATGTGCTATGCATATTACTGCCAGGGTGCACTGTGACGCAGTTGGTTGGTCCAATGTCAGCTCTCAAGTATCCTCTGTAGCAGTCTATTCAGTATGTTGATAATTCTTGCCAGGATAGATTCTAAACGTGTGTTTTTGAAGGTGTCTTGGAGGAAGCCGAATTCTACAATATCACGTCATTAATAAAGCTCCTCAAGGACAAGATCAGGGAACGTGACTGCAAAACATTACAGGTGGGTGAACTTCTGAATTGACACATCCCACACTATTGATTTTGTATTCATTTATTTTAAACCCGTTCTTTTATCTCTTTGGGGTTCCTGGCCTTGGCTGAGGCCACTGTTAGAATAAATGCACCTGCTCCATCCCATGCTTCAGTTCCCCACTGTGTGTGACGGGTTTCCATTGGCCTGCAATTGCTGGCAAAAAAAAAACCCCAAGATGAAAGCCGATTTTAAATAAAACTGTTGCCCAAAAATGACCGGGAGAAAATAAATCCCATTGCGAAATGCTTTTTATTAATAAATTGCAATACCAGTCGATGGAAATACATTTGACCGTCATGCTTATTGGTCTATAGGTTAATTTGCATAATTTAGTGGAATTAAATTGGCCTGTGTGTATTTTCGTTAGTCCTCATGTAGGCCCATCTTATTTATCCAACACATCTATCACACCCGCACAGCATACAGAGCATATTTTGAGCGGAATTTCTCCTGCAGTGCCTCAGCTGGTTGCTGCTGGAGTAAAACTTGCTTATATAAGCACATTCATTGCGGAACTATTTTAAATGCAATCGTGTGTTAAATGTTTTGGAGCATGACTAAAAAAAGCTACAATTTTTTTTATTTCTCAACTGGTAATCAATTTGTAAGTCGCTCTGGATAAGCGCGTCTGCTAAATGATGTAAATGTAATTGAAGCGGGCCTCCCATCCAAGTGCAGGACCAGGCTATCAGCGTGTCACCTACCACTTTACAATGGGAGCTGGAGGCAGTATGCATTTTGAAAACATACTTTAATTGTTTGAAACCTGAATGTTTTTCATTTCATATTATGAGGCATGTCTTACCTTGCGTCAAAGTAGCCTATAGGCAAAATCTGACCATGGAAACGTGGAGGCAATTATTTCATAAAGACTTCATAGGCGGCTCGTGCGTTTCAAGTTTGAAGGTTACAATTTGTCCTACCATTTCTACCGTTCTGCATGCCAGTTATGATTTTCATATGCGCATTTTCGTGGAACAGTTTCATTTAGATAAAAAAGTTTTCGTTTCTCAAAATCATTGTCATGTAGTTAATCAAAGAAATCAGAATTAAAATGATAAAAAGCCAACTAATGGGCCGATTGTGCGCCGTCCTATGGGACTCCCGGCCATGGCCGGTTGTGGCACAGGCCGGGAATGAACCCGGGTCTGTAGTAACGCCTCTAGCACTGTGATGCAGTGCCTTAGACCGCTGCGCCACTCGGGAGGCTCAGGAACTATGATTTTAATATCATTCGCAATGGATGTAAAAAAAAACAACACTTTCCTACATTTCTGCTCAGGCGCGCGCACTCCCTCAACATTATCAGGACATAGAAACCAGACACATGTTCATTGCTCAAATGAAGCACTCCAAACAAAAGACAATGAAAAAATGGACAAATCTCGCAAATGTACCTTTACTTCCTTATTGGACCCACCGCTATGCCGTTTCTCTCCTGTTCTATTGGTTTTCATATCAACTTTCTTTCATTGTTCAGAAGCCAAAGGCACAATTCTAGTCATATTAGCAACCCATCCTAGTTGTTGCATATGGAACCGATATCCGGTGCGTCGTTTAGAATGGGCTTTTCCCGCGAATTGCATGTTGGCAAATGTTTGAAAATGACGTTTTATTGGCTGCTTCATTACATGAGTTGCATGTTCTGTTTCGCACATTAGCATAATCAAAATGTTTCTTCTGTCATTCTGAGCACCATGGGTGGACGCCCTAATGGGTTATGCACCCAATGCATATGGGTCCGGTAAATGTCTTAAAAGGCCGGTAAATAATAAAAAAATTAAAAATCCTGGTCACGTTGGCCGGTGCCACATTTTCCTAACAGAAAGCCTGGTGTTTGTGTGTGGGGGTAGTGGAGCCAGAATGCACTCAACTCAAAAAGCCTCTTATTTTCTGCTCACTCTCTCTCTCTGCTCTCTCATCTCTTCTCCCTGCTCTCTCCCCAGGCTCCAGTGAAGCATGTGTACAGGGTGCTGCAGTGCCAGGAGGAGGAGCTCACCCAGATGGTGTCCACCATGTCAGATGGCTGGAAGTTTGAGCAGGTAACGCTGCCTCCCGCCACAAGGAGAAAAATGTCCTGCTTTATTTGTATTTCCCTCGCCCCGTAATCCTCACATCACCCCAACAATACAATCCATTAATTGGAAATAAATAAAAAAGTCTAAACAAATGTCAGTGTCTTATACGTAATCTGGGCGTCCCTCTGTGCTCTGATTGGTTGTTGCAGCTTGTCAGTATAGGTTACGGGCGGGCCCAGCAGTCAGAGTTTCTGCTGATTGTGTCAAGGGAGGTGAAGGGGGAGGAGTCTACTTTCCCAAACCACAGCGAGGTGTGTCCCACAATGTTCCGTCCACGGGCTGGTCACTGCATGGTTCCTATGTACCCATTCACAACCCTTTTGGCCTCTGTGTGTCCCAGCTCTATGCTCAGGAGGTGGCCATTTTGAGTTGATTTTAATTTTAAGATGTGTACTGTTTGTCCGACAAAGGACCCAAATGAACACGGCACCCTTTCTGTGTCTGTTGTTTGACTATCTCCTCCACCTTCACATTTTGTTTTCAGGTTGCTGGTAATACGCCTTGTATTTACATGTTTTTCTTGACGGTGTATTGTCTTAAGAGGATATTTTTGGGTCCATGTTTATTCTTTAACATATGCTAGATGATGAGTGAAGGAACAGATTGAAGCCTGATTAGGGTATACGTTGTAATTTAACATGGTTTGTGTTAGTGGTACGTTACAAAGCACTTAGTTTTCCAGACTCACATTTGTCATTTTTGAGTTCAGCTAAAATGGTTAAGCACTTAAACACTCTTGAAAGAATTTGGGCTGTAAGTGTGTGTGCAAGCTGTAAGTGCAAGCTATAAGCGTGTGAGTGGGTACGCACTGAATGAGTCTCCCCTGGCCCCACTGTCCCTGTGGGGAGGGATGAGGGATCACTGGATCTCCCTGAGTGCTGGAATGATACTAATCGTCTTACAGGGGTCAAATGGGAAACCCCTTAAAACACTTACTCGACCTATGCTTAAGGCTTTAACGCTCAGCAGCAGTGAGCCCAGTCATCTGGGGATATTTCAGAGCCACTCAGTCCTGGGTTGTGTTCATTAGGGAATGTTTTGCAACAGAAAATGAATACTTTTTTTTATTTTTGTAAATTTTATTTTACCTTTATTTAACTAGTCAAGTCAGTTAAGAACAAATTCTTATTTACAATGACGGCCTACACCGGCCAAACCCGGACGACGCTGGGCCAATTGTGCGCCGCCCTATGGAACTCCCAATCACGGCCGGTTGTGATACAGCCTGGAATCGAACCAGGGGGTCTGTAGTGACGCCTCAAGCACTGAAATGCAGTACCTTAGACCACTGCGCCACTCGGGAGCCCAACTTATTGGAGAAGTTCAGATGGTACCGCCCAGTTTCACTCTATTTCTGACCTTTTTCTTCAATTCCGTGCTACCTAACCCGATCCTGGGCTGCCTTGGGGTTTCTAAATTCTCTTGCTGTGTCCACCGATCATCCACGCTAGATTGGTTGAGAAAGGTTCTTGAATCACATTGAATGTGTGTATGAATGCTATTTCAAAGTTACCTCAGAAAACAAGTGATTTGCAAGTTGACTGCACTTTAAAAGACACATTTGAGTTCAAGTGAGGTTGAGGTTTTGACCATATCGTTGGGCTTGAGTGGGTATTGCGATGGGTGAGAACTGAGAGACTGGTTGTACTTGGTACAGTAGCAGGTAGCTATAGTTTTGTGTGTATTGGGTAGATGTTGTGAAATTGTTAGATATTACTTGTTAGATATTACTGCACTGTCGGAGCTAGAAGCACAAGCATTTCGCTACACCCGCTATAACATCTGCTAAACACGTGTATGTGACAAATAACATTTGATTTGATAACATTTAGCATCAATATAGAGAAGCTTAAAACTCTTGCCTCACACAGGAGGCATCTCTTGGCAACAACATGGTTCCTGCAGAAGTGGCTAATGAGGCTGCATGTCGAGACATGCACACCCACAGAGAACACTGTACAGTACACATACTGACTGGCTGAACACCAAAGTTAAAAGCATTCGACTAAGAGGAGGAACAGTTTGTCTGACGTTGTCAAATATGTATTTTGTAGGCCGAAGTACTCCGTGTTGATTTGCATGACATGTCACCTCACCGTCTGCATGTTTAACAATCTGTTATCCCTGTCGAAGTTGCTTTGTGTCCTTTTAAAGACCAACTCCAGCTATTTGTGAACTTTCCTGTTGAAAAATATATTCCAAGTATAAATACAGTACACTCACTTAATGGTAAATAAATTGGGTGAAATTCAAGGAGTTGGTCTGATGGGTGCACTCTGACGTCTTCCCCCTCCCCCCTTGCTTGCGGGAACAATAAAGGACAAAAGAGGCAAGGCCCCAACCCCCCCCCCCCTTGATCCAGGAGGTGTTCTCTGCTGTTACCAAGCGAAACTTGATTTTGGAAGAAGCTAACCACTTAGCTAGATGGCTAACTAGGTACTAAATTAGCAAACGAAATGCACAACTGCGGAACATTTTAGCACATTTAATTGACTGTTTAACTTAATAGTTATAGGATATCTAGCTGGCAAACATTTAGTTGTGAATTCCATACTGTAACTAGATCAGCTGGCTGCACAACAGTGAGGGACTCAAGGCTCCGGTCTCTCGTCATTGTGTGCTTGTAAACAAACACCACGTGATTGGGGACTACCGGTAAGCTTCATGATGAAACATTGTGACCGGTGAAATGAAGAACGCAATCTTTATCTCCTTACGTATTGCACAAGTTGACTGCAGGTATTTACTTTAAATGTAGCTAGAAATATTCCAATTTTATTTTTAAAAAACTTCAAATAAGTAGTTTTGACAGTATTGAAAAACCTTCCAGTGGTTAATTCCAAATACCCCGGTATATTGCCCAAGCCTATAGCCAATTCACCTTTTGTGTTCTGATCTGTTTCAAGGTCTGTGTTATGTGTTTTCTACCTATTATCTAATGCTTTTTATTACTGTTCAAACTCTTCACTTTTCTGTTATCTAAGTACACTGTAACCCACTTTCTGTCCTCATTTTGTCTCTGAAGCTAATTTTCTCTCTCTCCCTCTCTCCCTCTCTCTCCCAGCTGGTCAGCATTGGCTCCTCTTATAACTACGGAAACGAAGACCAATCTGAGTTCCTGTGTGTGGTCTCCAAGGAGCTGCACAACCAATCATACGGCACAAACAGTGAGCCCAGTGAGAAAGCCAAGGTGAGTGTAAACACCGGCAGTAAGCCAAGTGAGAATTCCATGACGAGCTTGTCTGAATGGTGCCTTGTTCTGGATGTCTAAATGACCATATGGGACAGTGATAAATGGCCTTGGTTTTCTGATGTAAACGCTCATAGAGGAGTCCATTTTAAAGGAAATAGGCTTGGACTGCTGCACAGAGTAATTCATTGATGAATGAGAATTTTGGTATTTTCCAAAAAGTATAAAACATTGGTCAATTAGTTAGGTATTGAATTAGCCTTCAAATACTCTAGCCAAGTCCTTTTCATAGCAGTTCATTTTAACTTTCAACAATTTTGTATCTAAATCAAAAGGACAGTTCTGTAATTGTTAGTGTAAAGTTAAAGTCAAAGACCACACGCAGGCCTAAATGCATTTCTCCAGTTTTACAAGATTGATGTAATGTTAGATTTTACCTTCGACTGAAACCACCCCCCCCCAAAACAATTATCCACATTAGGAGGACCTTGAGCGCATAGGCTTGATGATTAGTGGGGAAGTTCAGAGCAGCAGGCCTAGCTGTGGGAATTACTAGTCCCATCTGCAGGTCCCCATGTGGGCCCAGTCCTCCAGGGCACGCTTCACACTCACTTATTTTAATCAGGCTCCTTCCAATCCCAGACTTGGTAATTCTATTGAATTGTTGCAAATAGGCTGAGATTAAGGCCGTTTTCACACATAGTTTTGAGCTATAGTTCGAATCAGAGTTCAATTTATTTGTTGTATTGTATTTTCTTCATTTGGTTCGGTTGGTTTCATATTGCCAAATGTAAAACGAACTAAAATGCCTAAACAAAACCACATGTTCATGCAAGTCATTTGTTTATTGGAGAAAAATGCTAACGTTACATCTGTCTGACTATCAAGAAGCATAACTTGTGTCCCAAACTTCATGACTTTCACTTTGGTCTTCCAACAACATGCGGGAGAAAACGGCAGAATAGCCGCTCTAACTGAGATTAATAGGCTATATTCAGTAACCTGTATCCCAAGTAGGCTATAGCTTCAGTCTCCCCTAATCTGCATCGGATGCGCTCATAAATGCGGTGCTACTCAATGTTTCAGAGAGATCAAGTTATGGTAGGCTACTGCTTGAATTTCATCAAATGCTTGCAGTCAAACAACCAATAATAGGCCTACAGTATGAAAAATGTATGCACTCACAAAAATAAAACTGTCGCTCTGGATAAGAGCGTCTGCTAAAATGTAAATGTAAAATGTACTGCACGGACTGCATTCACACCTGCAGCGAACCGCACCATGGTACAAATGGAATCTGACCAAGACTGCCATTTTTGCGCAAACCACGGTGCGTTGTTTAGTGCGCTCCGGATAGTGTTCACACCAGTCCAAACGAACCGAACTAAGGGGGAAATCGATCCAAAACAATTTGGTGTGAAAGCCCCCTAAGAAGTCTTAGAATTCATTCAGATTTAAATATCACATGGATGTAATCTAGTTAATACCTGTTTTAGAGATTTATTTTCTATTGATAGGAATTTCAATGCATTTACACCACAGAAAGAGGCTTTTGACTTGAGTTCTTAAGAGGTTTATACACCTATTACATTTTTAGACTGAATGGACTTTGGTACGGTAGCAAAGCAATCACAGAGACCTCTTGAGAGAGGGCGTATCGGCTCGGTTGCAAGTGAATCTTACTAGATATGAAAGTAGCCTACCCTCCAACCCGTCAATGTCCAAATGTTGTGATTGTGTGTTGGACTAGTAATAGTCAGCAGCTAGGTTTCCATCCAATTGGTGACAGTTTTTCATGCGAATATTCTAGAATCTGAAAAAAATGAATTTTCCCATCATCAAACTAAAATGCTGTGCGTGATGACGTTGCGATAAATCGCAAACGTGCCCCATCTGGTTTTGGTGCATGCGCTCTTGACAACAGTTCACTGATCAAGTGGACAGGGTAGGTTATATGATGAGAGATGGATAAGAGCAATATCATTTTCATTTGATAATTGGCAGCCAAGCATAGCTCATGTCACCAGCATTCAAATAATACCCTCTGTATTTATTAGAAAATGTGCATCAAGCTTATCACCGTCCATCACTTAACCACCATGAAGTTCATCATGCCTTATTTCATCTGCCTATAAACTCTTAATGCTTTTGCATGTGGTGGTGGTAGTACAATGTAACATTTCATTGCGTGACTCCAAGTTTACTACTACATTATGGATTATTTATATAAATATTTGCGCGTTAAGGAGTTTCCACCGCAAATGTCGCATAAAGTATTTCACCGACCCAAAAATGATCCCACTTTGTCTAGCATGTTTTGTCGACAATGGGACATTTTACACACATCTGCTGTTTCCATCTGCCCTGTTGTGAGTTTTTATGCGTCAGGTAATTCATTCACATTAAATGGTTTGATGGAAACCTGATTTTAGTGATGCATCCCCAGTCGGAGAGTCTTCCTTGGACTGATGTTAGTTAGTTGGAAGGTAAATGTTTTGTAACATTTACACAACCCCATCTGTAGTTCTTTACCCCACTTTACCCCTGACATTTTCTCCCCATTCATTTTCATTCTTGTAAGACTTGCCTTCTTCCTGTACCATTTTGCATGCTGCATGTTGCTCAGAGCGAGGACGACGAGACGGATTATGAAATGAATGACTCTGATTAGGGTTGAGCACTTATGACTCAACGGTGAGAGCTCAGCTCTGCTGCCCTCCTGACTCTCCTTTCTTTCGACTCCCTTACACGTACCTTTTTTCTTCCCATAACTCCCCCATGCGTCTTTGCCCTGGTGTTTGCAACCCTGGCCCATGAGAGGATTGTGTTGGGGATTTTGATCCTGTCAGACTTTAAATCGCTTCGTCTTTCACACACACTCTCTAGGACCACGGTTGACTACACCTGTCAAGCTTTTCATTTAGCATGAGCAAATACACTGCGCATACCAAACATTAGGAAAACCTAATATTGAGTTGCACCCCCCTTTTGCCATCAGAACAGCCTCAATTTGTCTGGGCATTGACTCTGCAAGGTGTCAAAAGCGTTCCACAGGGATGCTGGTCCATATTGACTCCAATACTGCCCAAAGTTGTGTCAAGTTGGCTGGATGTCCTTTGGGTAGTGGGACGTTCTAGAAACACACAGGAAACTGTTGAGCGTGAAAAATCCAGCAGCATTGCAGTTCTTGACACAAACCAGTGCGCCTGGCACATACTACCATACCCCATTCAAAGACATTTAAATATTTTGTCTTGCCCATCTCCCTCTGTATGGCACATATACACAATATATGTCTCAATTGTCTCAAGGCTTAAAAATCCTCTAATTTGTCTCCTCCCGTTCAACTACTCTGATTGATTGACGTGGATTTAACAAGTCACATCAATAAGGGATCATAGCTTTCATCTGGTCAGTCTGTCATGGAAAGAGCAGGTGTCCTTAATGTTTTGTACACTCAGTGTATTTGCTTTGTATTGATGGCATGGTTAGCTTAGAAAACCCCTAAACATATCCTTTCGCCCTACTCCATTTTGTGTGTGTGTGTGTGTGTGTGTGTGTGTGTGTGTGTGTGTGTGTGTGTGTGTGTGTGTGTGTGTGTGTGTGTGAGACCCATTCGCAGATACCAGACTTAAAGATCACGTTCATTACTAATATACTGTATGCCTGTCATATTTAACTATGAGCCTGCTGTAGTCTAGTTTCTTATTAGTTAGGTAATTGCAGGAATATATTTTTACATCATTAACTGATTGAATTCCTTTTGCCTTTGCAGATTCTTCAGGAGAGGGGATCCCGAATGTGAAGGATCAGTATTACAAGCTCCAGGTATAACGATGCAAACATATCATTGACGAGGAAGAACCTTTCACACAACAGAGAAGACATTAGTCGTGAGGGACACACATTTGTTTGTTTTTCCTCCATTTTATTTTATGTAAATAAGTCTGTTTACAGACTTGTTGTGCCTGTACAGTTAAACTGGATTTTCTTTTTGAATTAGTGGCAAGTTTTTTTTCCCCAACAAATTATGAATTATAATCATTTAAATATTTTATGCTATAAAACATGGCCATGGTCATACACTGCCAATGATTCACTCAGGGGCTACTTTTGAGTTTTTCTTTTACCTTCTAACTCAAGGGAATCTTGTAAGGCAGGGTTCTTCAATTCCGGTCCTGGAGGGCCGAAACACCTCTGTTTTTCATCCTCTCCTTCTAATCAGGGGCTAATTCAGACCTGGGACACCAGGTGAGTGCAATTAACTACCAGGTAGAAAAAGAAAAAAAAAACAGAAGTGTTTCAGCCCTCCAGGACCGGAATTGAAGAACCCTGCTGTAAGGGATCATGATGGTCTATCTATATTATCAAGCATAAACCGCTAAAACCTGTACTGTCAGTAGATTAAAATATTTTTTAGAAGGGAATTAATTGTAATGCCTCCTTAACTGGTTTATCCTCTGTATTCTTAGAGTGTACATTTTGTTTAATAAAGTGTTTATTTGGGGGTAAGCTATTTTTGGGAAGGTTGGGGTTTGCTGGGGTTTGCAAAGTTTTTTTTTTTTTTTTTTTAAGGTAATGGTGAAGGAATGTCTTTTTAATATCCTTATGTTTTTTAATGTACATAATCTAAAATATCCAATATTCATATTTAACTCAAACTGCATGTTTTGTACACTGTATAGTTAAACACAATGACTTCAAATGGAAGTTGTTGTACTGGATCTTACAAGCTAGAAAGTCTTGACAATGAAATGATGGTGACTCGAGTTTTGCAATTGTTTGTACAGAGGTCTCTGCATATTAAGATTTGTAAATCAGGATTTAAATTGTTGATGCTCAATATCTGTTTTACTTAGAACACACCTGGAACGTCTTTTGATATCCAATAAGAGGAAATATACCTTAGCTCAGACGTTGACTGTTATGTTGTACAAAGATGTATTTGTCTTGCAAGGCTACACATTCTTTGAGGCATTTTGTATTGTGTAGACTTCATACACAGCATTTCAAGCTCTACAATAGGAGGAACACTGTGCACAATGCTTTCCTTATCCTGCAACACTGTTAAGGGTAAATTC